GATAGGGAAAAAAAATCAGATAAAGAAATTATGAGAAAATGTCGAATTGAAGATTGAATACTAACCCTCATATTAATTCAAGAAGAAACCCGTAAGAATCACTCCATTCCGATCTCTAGAACTCCCGATATGCTCAAAATACCAAATGAACACAGTCTGAGATTTTTATAACAGTACATGGCTGTTATGCACCAGAAAAACAACAGTTAATCTTTCACTGAAAAGGCTGTAATTTCCTCATACGATAGTGAAATGACCCGATTCTTTTTTGTAAATGTCTTAAATAATGATACGGACCTGCTCGTTCAATCGGAGCTCAATTTCATGCTCGTTTGCCCAGTCAAATATCATTTCTACTCGGTAAACAATTATTTCTTATTTGCGATAAAAGTCCAATCTCGGGTTAGCGAAAATGCACCAAAATTTGCAGATAGGTCCTATAATTCATGCTCAAAATTTCAGAACCTTCGGAATAATTTTTCGACCCTTAAAACTAATAATGAACCCTTTAGTTGTCACAATTTGCTGAAATAGTGTCAAAGCATCCAAGAAGCTTAAAAGCTCACCCAAAACTCATTTGGCACTTCCCGAACACAAACCAAATATGCTACTAGCTTGAAAATGACATTTCGGACTCAATGAAATCGTCGGAATTTGAATTCGAGGTCTCCTTGACCCGGTATCCGATAAGGCGTCAAGAAACTAACTTTAGGCTCAAAAACTCGAAACGCACTTGGGGCCTCTAAAAATTCAACCAAGACTCATTCTAGACTTAGAATCACCCCCTGAATCCAACGGTGCCCTCGGAATTCCATTTCGAGCACCGGAACCTCGTTTGTTGATCAAAGTCAACTCTTGATCAAAATTTCACAATTTTTGCAACTTAGGACCTCAAATCTTCGTTTTAACTCCAAATTCGACTCCGTAAATTCTCATAGACCCGTTTCGACATTCTAAAATTGCTGGAATCGACGGAAATTTGATTCGAGTCTCGAAACTCTAAATGACTTGAAATAGCACTTTTAACCAAACTTTAACTTTTAAAAACTCAACTTTCCAAAAACTCAACTTTTCATCAATTTTCCTTCAAACCAACTTCGAAAATACAATAATTAGGACTCGGGGCAACTATCGGGAGGGGTAAAACGGTCATTTTATGAAAATTCCAAAAATGACCTTTAGGGTCATTACACAAATAAATCTTAAAAATCATGTTCGTCCTCGAACATAAAGTAGAAGAAAACAAAAATACTCGACGCTATCAACCCCGAGGTGAAATTTCCGAACTCAATAATTACTACTCCAAACGAACCCATTCTTAAACCTTATCCCAAAAATCCCTAAAAAGGATTCCCAAATCAATCTTGACAACTTAACCCTCAAAGGGTTATTTCAAACCACCGACTAACTCATAGACTGAATCTGAATCTAAGATCTCAAGACCACAACATATTTACCATGACAAACCCCTAATCATGTAACCACGAGAGAAATTTCAGAATCAATAACCACAGAAAAATCAAGGATGAACCTAAATCAATCACCAAGCTCTCACAACACACGAACCATCACCGACTCTAGAAAAAANNNGCAAGGCTCTACCCGTTTTAAGCTCACCCATATCAAAAGCTTCTTGAATTATTTTTTTTTGAGATTCTCGATAATCATCCATACGTTTATAAGAAGCCGCCAAAACATTAAAAATATTTGAAACCAAATGAACAAGTTCTCCAACTTGAAGACATCTTTTAGAAACACCAACAAGAGTTAATTGAAGTTGATGAGCAAAACAATGTATGGAATAAGCCGATCTACTTTCTTTCTTAATCAACATCTTAAGGCCATTGATATCACCTTGCATATTACTTGCTCCATCATAGCATTGTCCACGCACATAAGATAGACTCAAGGAATGTTGAGAAAGTAAATTGACAATTGCTTCTTTTAGAGATAAAGCACTAGTATTTTTAACATGAACAATGTCAAGAAGTCTCTCCATCACAAATCCTCTTCTATCAACATATCGTAAAACAACCGCCATTTGCTCCTTGCGTGAAACATCAAAAGATTCATCAACCAATAAGGAAAAATAATCACCATTTAGTTCCTTTATGATGCCCTTAATTGTTTCAATCTTGCAAGCAATTACAATATCTTTTTGAATTTTTGGACAAGTCATTTGGTCATTTTGAGGAGCATTTTCCAATACAAACTTACGAACTTCATCACACTTTTGAGCATAAAATGAAAGAATCTCAAGAAAATTACCTCTGTTAAGTGATAATTTAGATTCATCGTGACCTCGAAATGCCAAGCCTTATTTCACAAGAAGTCTTACTACATCAATTGAAGCTGCTAAGCGGATCTGATACCCGTGCTTATCTTGATTAAATTGTTTCTCAAATGAAGCATGTATGGATTGTTGTTGTCGCATTAGATCTTCACATTTTCTTTTTGACTGATTGTGAATGCTAGTATGCCCACCAACATGTGTTTGCAAACTAGCTTTTTTATGCCAACTTCTAAACCCCACACTAGAAAATGTTTCACCTCCGCCTTGAAGATTGTTATTTTGCTTGAATAAATAACAATACAAACAAAAGGCTGCATCTTTACTTATACTATACTCTAACCAATCAGGAAATTCATCAAACCATTTATGATTAAAACGTCGCATAGCTTTGTTTGTGGAAACTCTCTTAAGAGAGGTTGACTAGGTTTTTTTTGGAGATAAGCTCTTCTAATAGCGTCACGATGATTTGGATGA